AACGCTACCACCTTTCGTTACGCAGTTTCACTCCCCGCCAGACTCTTACCCCGGCGGATTCGCGGTGTGTAGCGTCCCCATGCGCGGCCGAAGGTACTGGCTGCTGTGTCGCACCATGATAGTAGGAGGATGCTGAGCGTAGCGACATCCTTCGGGAATATGCTTAGTACGGTTATTGTGCCGACAAGGTACCAGACAACCCCGTTCCACCCTGTGACCTCACTCTCGCGCATGAGGGCGCCGAGTAGGCGGATGTAGAGTTGGTTGAAAGATGGTGAGTAGAAGCGCAGCAGGTCCGCACTCGCGATAGGGATTAAGGCGGCGGTTAAAGGTGGGGTGATATGTATTGGCTGGCGTCCGGTTCGGTAAAGGTATAAAACTACGAAGCCAATAGAAACGTGCAGGAGTTTACGGGGAACTTCATGTTTGTGTATCTACATATTTCTTATATTAGAGTGTGACATTTTAATCCCCTCCCCTACGGGGAGGGATAACGAGGGAAGACTCACGAGTGAGGAGAAAGTTCTGTGTATCGGAATAAGCCCCAACGGCGACGGCGAACGCGATAGGTTGCGCCATATAGACGACGGAGGTGGGGGAGCTAAGTGGTTCCCGCTAAGGACTCGGGAAAGAGCTGGCGGCGGGGGTTTGCGACTCCTTGGAGAGCGTGCCTCCTCCAGCTCCTGCCGAGGAGAGTGCGAGTCCGTGCTTGTATCGCTGGTATCGCTAGTATAAGCGTCATCATCCTCATCCCCGTTACCGCCTATAGGGACGATATCGCGGAGCGAGGTGGAAGAAGAACTCGGTGAAGGTGAAGGTGTCGAATGCGGCGTCATTATGAATTATGATAGTGGTGATGGTGATGATAATGATGGAGTTTTAGAGGGTAAAAGGTTTGCTCAAAAAAAAAATGAAAAAAAAAAATGAAAGGAGTTGCATGGGTTGAGTTGAGTTGAGTTGAGTAAGAAAGAAAGACCAAACCCCAGCCTCATTCGTCACGACAGGATCACAAGTGCGCGTGAAAACGGGTTTTCTGAGCACTTTTTTGCCCGGATCACGAATTGTCAGGCTCCGGTTGGTTTGACTAACGTCACGATGCAGGGTTTTTGGAATTTGGCTTGTGATTGTGGGAATTATGTTGAGTTAGGGTTTCGGGTTTTGGAAAGCGCAGCACACTATTAATCAGCAATTACCTCAGCTTTTGCTATCTCCAGTGCTTCAGAGCAATTCATTCATGCTGGCCCCGTTCGTTAAATTATTTCGCAGGCACAGCGCCGATAATTCAATCTTTCATCCCGCGATACTTGTACTCGAATACTCGAGAAACACCAGCAAACGCCGCACCCCCTTCGGTTTGCACGAGTACAAAGTTCACTTATTACTCCCCCCTGTCAAGAATCACCACCGTAATGTGATACGGTACGATATATCTGTCCTCTCTTTACCCCAAGCCCTAACCCCCAAGCACAACACACCGACACGATAACAAACAAGACAATCATAGCTAACTCATCATAAGTTAGGCTGGAAGCACAGGTTCCACTCCCCTCCCACCCCATTACTACCGGTATCACATTCTTATCACGGAGTATCACGCGAGTTGGTTACTAACAGTAGCGTTTGGGGGACTTTTGCGTGTTTACCGTACCGTACTATACTGCATGCGATGGCAATGATGAAAAAAAAGCATTAGAGTAAGAATAGAAAACGAGGAATCATAAATAGGGAATAGAAATGGTATCATAACATAAACCTGAACGCCCGCCTGAATCCTGCCGGAAAACCTCTCCCGTCCGAGAGACAATATAGGTGGGAGAGGAAGAAAGAAAAGATGCCTAGAAATAGAGAAAGAAAGAGAAAGAAAGAGGGAAAGAGCGCAATCCGGCTCCCCCCCAGTTGTGCTTGCGGATGGCAAGGCGCAAGAGCAGGGTCTTTATGACAATAAAAGTGCCCGTGCCATGTGTGGGTCCATGCGCATCCTTAACACCCAGAAAGTTGTCTGAAAAACGCTGGGTGGCTACTTGGATCGCTTGGAAGTGTTGGATGTAGGTGATCAGGGTGATAGAAACCATGTAAGATGGCTGAGTTATTGGCGGGGTTAGGGTAATACGTATTGTTGAGAAGACATTGCTGGTATGATATCATACTTTGTTACCGACAGGACATCGTCGGGACGCCTTTGCTTCAGAAGGGCAGGAACGGTAATTGCTATTTTTGTGTAGGAATGACGAGGTATGCGACGATAGTTTTATCTAAGCGAAAGAAGGACGCGCTCTGCTGATGTTTGCCGATGCACGTGGCTATTCCGATAACGGTGGGAAGCGGTAGTATCAGATTTTTTGATAGCCAAACTCGAAGGCTCTCCGAGTGACTTCCGCTGATACCGCTCTCCCAGGAACCGATAAAGTACCACCACACAACCATCAGTCCCCCCCTTTCTATCAAAAACACCCCCTACTCCAGTGCTGGTAACCCCTCATCCCACGCCCGCCCCGCCTTCTTAGTCCTAGGCAAAAACTTCCCCCCCATCCGCTCCATAACTTCCGCAACCTCCCCCCAGCGCCCCCTCTCGTCGTCCCGGCAAAACGCCCTAGAGAAGCCAAACTTCTTCAACCCGCCCCGCTTCTTCGCCAAGAACCCGATCGTGCCCTCAACCGTCACTTTCGGGCACACCGGCCAAAGGCTCATCTGCCAGAACCTGCGGTTGGTGAGCAAGGGTGGGTATTCAATCCATGGAATAACTTGTCCGTGGGTAAAATCGGGTGCGGTGGCGGGTTCCAGTGTTACGAGTTTATCCCACGCGCGGAGGATTAGGGTTTGTAAGTTCTCACTTTGAGCGAAGGCTCTTAATAGAAGGGCGTCCGCGAGGTCTCTCGTTGAGAGGCAGATGTCAACGTAGGTTATTGACTGCCGCATGCAGCGAATTATGCTTAGCAGTCTGTCGCTGAGTAAGAATACCGATACGTCCCCGGCCAATATCAAGGTTTTCAACTTGGTGAGCGATTCGAGCGGCGAATGATGCAGGACCGTGCTTCGAGAGTAATGCACCGACCCCGGGCGAGGGTTCGTAAAGTCCGTATCTTGAAGTTTCAAGTACGTCAATGACGAACCCAGCGATGCCAAGGGTGCCAACAGCAACTCTGTCGTAGAGGAGTCCGCTTGTTTAGCTTCATAACTGAGCGACAGCGAATCTATCCTCGCAGACTTTTCCCTTTTCGATTGCTGCCCACCGCGAGATAAGCTGCGTTCTAACTGGCTATTCACGTTCTTGATCTGGATAATCGCTACTGCGAGGTCAAACATTCCGGTGAATTTGGTGAACTCAAGATCACGCATGTTGTGTAGAAACCCGGGTGCGAAAGACCACCCGGTAAAGTTCTGGGAAGTGGAGGTATTGTCCATAAAGAGGTTTATCAACTTCAGGCTCTGGGGGGAGAACCCTGCGTATCCCATCTCTGTGAACATTCGCCAAAGTTTGAAGTTATCGCAGCGCATCCGGGCCAGTCTTAGAGCTCTAATACTGCGACTTTGGCGAAGGGCTAGTGGGCCATTGCCCAAGTCTTTTCCCGAGAACCGGGAGTAGCGGATATCAAAGTCTAGGTCTAGGGATGTGATAGAGTTAGGGTTTAGGGCGTCAAAGAAGCTGTCGAGTGTAGACACAGTTTTGTTATATGCTGAGTGGTCGGTTTCCCAGTCTTCTTCGTGGCTGTAGTACGGATCATAGTGCGTTTTAAATCGCCAGTCCAAGATTGTTAGTGAGAAGCTATCGGATTTGCTGCTGTGCCGGCGGCGCTGAGTAAGGCTTGCGGTGCTGGGATATATTAACGTAGGCCTTATTGAAGCTATAGCCCTACCCAACTCCGCACAGACCATCCACCCGGAGGAGATAACCAGACGAGAGATGTTCTGCAGGGAATATATCATTGATATAGGATGCGACATGCGAATCGGCTCGTGGACCCTCAATTGGCCCAACTCAGGGATAGTAAAGCCCCTGAGATGTTGAATATGCGGATACAAGACTACTCCAAATATCAGCACCAACCCTACCGGTCAAAATAGGGAAATATCGAGAACACCCACAATCCATAATCATCAATGCCGTATCCCCAACGAAAACCTTCACCTCTCTCCCATAGACAGGACTAGTCCAGCCATACTCCGCCCCTCCGACAATCATTTTATCCCCCCTCTTGTCCCTCCTAGAAGCGCCACTAACCTCCAACCCACCGAGCAGCCCATCAAAAAAGTACTGCGCAGCCTTCCCGTCCAGCGTCGAACTCTTATTTCCAGTCGTCCTTTGCGACTTCATTATCTCCGTTAGCACCATCACCAGCGTGCGCGCGTCCAGGTTCGCGACGTATTTGATATAGGGAAACAAGGTGGCATTTTTAGCCTCAGGACTTTTTCCAGAGACAGTGAAGCAAGAGAGTAATAGGGTTCTCCATAATTGCATCATCCGCCGGTCAGCGCGTGTGTTGTAAAAGTCTATGCATCGGGAGGTGGGGAAGTATTTCGAGCCGGGGTTGTGGGCTGGTCAGGTTGTCGGCTACGTTAATAATTTATTACCGCAATAGCTAGTGACTAGTTGAACAAAGAAGGAGCAAACTAACCATTCGCAGTAGTGGGCATCAGCACCCCAAACCCATGAGTTCTATAAAGCATCGGAATAGCCGTAAAGGCCCAAGCTCTACAAGTAACCGCACAACTCCACAGATCCCTCACGCTCCCAAGCCCATCATCCGCGATGTCAGGCGCAACGAATCCAAATATCACTTCCAACAGCTCGACCGGCAACCTCACCGCCGCCGCCGCCTTCTCTTCCTCCTCCTCCTCCTCATCATCATCACCACCATCATCCTCAAAAAAACTAGAACCACAACTCGAAGGCGAGGACTCGTAATAGAACGTGGCACCGTTGTTATACATCATCTCCTCCAGCAATTCCTCGTCTGGCTCCGGCGTACTCTCGTAGTAGAATGAAAACATGGATTCCACTAGAGAGGACATCGATATCTCGTTTTGCGAGCTCAGCGGTGCTTTGTTGAAGCAGGGTTGCGGGCGGGGGAGAAATGTCCTTGGGGCGGCGGAGGGCATGTAGCCGGTACATGGGATGGGGTACTTAAGAGGGGAAAGGGAAATATAGAAAAATAAAATAAAAAAAAGGAACAGAAACGGACAAGAGAACCTGTTTGAGGAGATTAATTTAGGCACTGTAGGGCAGGGATCAATAATGAATACCGTACGAGTAGATAAACGGTTAATTAAAAGGAGAGTGAGAAGGAAAGGAGGAATGGAAAAAGAAAAGAAAAGAAAAAAAGGAAGAAAAGAGTAGGAGATGTTGCCTCTGGGGCTCGAAGGCGCTTAGAAAGAAGGAAGTTGGCGGAAGGAGTAGTTTATAATTTTATGTCTTGGGTTCTTAATCAGGAGGTTGCACGATTATGGGTACTTTTATATGCAACGGAATCTTCCTCACCCCTCCTTTACTTTTATCTGGGACCGCTGGGAAGTAAGGAGTGTTGTTGACCTGTACGAGTAGGAGATTTCGGGCTTGCTGAATTGCGGTTGATGGATGATGGTAGTGATGATGGTGATGGTGATGGTGGAGGCAGACTGAGGTATAATAGATAGAGGTGGAATGTCAGACGAGTTACAACACATGCCTTACCCATCCTCACGGTCTCTCTTTATACATACATATCATACGGCATCATACTTGCACATACAGATAAATCATCATAGCGTAGTTCTCTTGTGGGAATCGAATATCGTACCGGTAATGGTTGTCCATGGCCCTGAGCTTGCCTGCCCACCTGTCTTGTCCGCCTGGTGCAACTTTACCTTTGATGATTGATGTTCGGGGTTTAACGTCCCATCTTCTCTTCCTTCCCCAACCCCCCCCCTCCTCCTGCGCTAGATCAAGCAGGCACAAGCAAGGAAGAAGGAGAGAGAAAAAGAGGGGATACAGGCAGGGTGGTGGTGATAAAACGTTACCATACCATGGTTGATGCGCACTGCACAAATCCAATCATATGACATCAACTCATTGCACTTCGTTTCGCTCTCTCGTTCGCTCGCTCGGCCCGATTCAAAATCCCAAGCTTTTCCCTCACTCGACAGAACCGAACACACGTTGACCTGTGTCAGTGGAGAACTGCTCGAGTCTGATACACGAAACGAACCCATTGTCCTGCTGTCCGTCTTGAAAAGCAAAAAAAGGTAGGTGGACCCATGCAGCAGAAATGTGGGTTCTCATATTCCGAGTACTGGTACTGCTGCTCGCGAGTGCGTACTGGAGATTATGATAATGAAGGCAGATAGCTTGGATAGAAACTGGATGATGATGATCGGGTGAGATACGAATTTTGATATGATACTAGTACTGGTATGATAATAATAGTATTATGATTGGAAAGGCGAAGTGTGGTAGGGTAGATATGCATCAGTGCACTATTACCTAGGACACTAATAACGCCTTCCTTACTATTTTACTCGTAGGGTACGGTACCGGTACCGCTATAGTACTAATTTAAATTAATATCGTTGATTCAGGCTCCAGTGCAATTAGGGGTTCGTTCGCTAGGGCGCGGAATATGACAGCTTTGACTTTGCGGCATCGGTACTTTACTCGAGCACCGGTACTATAATATTATCATACGAGTACTACCGGTACCTTGTACGTGTACACGTACTTTTATGCTGCTCAGACTGCAGGTACTAGTGCTTGTAATAGTACTTGTTCGGGTACAAGTGCTTTGAAAACAAGACACTTGCTGGCTTTTTTTCCGCTTAGCAATCCATACTGAGAACAGCACCCCTGCCGGCACAGTACTGTACTCGGGTATGAGGGTATTTCCGGCGCAGTAGTACAAGCCCTCCCCCTTGCAGTTGCCCCCCTGGCTGCCAAGGTGAGAAGGCAAAATAGAAAGAAAATAGCGTAGACATGAGTTCTCACCTGTAAACACTGGAATGCCTGTGACACCACGAGCATGAAGCAAAAAGGCCAACAAGAACGGAACCCTGGGGGTGTTCAACACCGTGAAACAACTCGAGACGAAAGGATAAAGGTACTTACCTTACGGGAGGAAGCTGGCTGGAGCTGGACAAGGATTGGTGAGCATCTGTATATAGATAGGTGGACATGTCAGAAGGTGTGTATATTAACTGAAGTTCATAGAAAGATAGCTAAAAAATAAAGCAAGATTTGCCAATGGGTACAAGTTATGGGCTCACTATCCAATAAGAAAAGAACCGGTTGGCCACCCATATTCGATGAAGCTGAAAAAGTACAGTTAGAAGCTTTTGTGACACGCGATACACAAATACGACACCTTAGCTGGGAGGCCATATTGTTAGGCGGAAACAACTTGATAGACTTCAAAGTTGTCTAGGCCAATCGAGATTCGTTTCTGTAGACGGAGATTGTCTAGGAAGGCTCAGACTTTGCTCGTTTCGTTTATGACTACTAGGAGCGAAGTAAAATAGGTAAAGTAGGGTAGAATCATAAAAACAATATTATATTGTTAAGGTCTCTTCGCTGTTGCTTGATGATGTCTAAAGCTTAGGAGGTACTTCGATATTTATATTCCGCGTCTGAGTCTTCACGGACTACATCTACTTATCTGTAATGATCCCTCCTTGGATAGTTAGTTCTTGGCAATGGGGAACGATACTTCTCTTCTCATTCTTCTCCTTTCTTCGTCTTACGATAGCACTAGTCCTCTGCCTACGTTACCGATAGTACAAGACCTCTGTCTTCTATCGGGAACGCCTATCGTAAGCTTTCTCTAACTCTTCTTCGTGACAAGCTTTCCTTGGTGTAATGATAACGTTGCAACAAAGATAAAGATCGTAAATGTGTTTTATATTTGTTAAAGTAATAAGTAGGAAAAGTACTTAAAAGTCAATCTAATTTTATTTAAACTCGTGCCGCCAACACTGGCATACGACGAGCCCCCGCCGGCACAGAGATACCGCTAACAGGTATACCACTAATCCTAAGCTAACTAAGTCTACGGCCCCGCACCTGCCATCCCCGAGTCATGCCCGCACGAAGACTAATTACAAGACCATCAAACAACCCAGCGCCCGCTCCGGTCCAAGTCCGTAGCCCCTTTAGTATGAAGCTAACCAGCACTAAGGGTAGCCGAAGCCAAGCAAGAGACCGACCAAACCAGATTCCTCGCCCAACAAAATATAAAATCACTACCGCCCGGTCTTAAACACAGTCCCGCAAAACCTCCACTATAGTAGAAAACCAACAAAACTAAAAGAAATATAAACTACAGGCGATACAATGGCAGAGAGGAGGTGACCAACATGGCCACCTCTCGCATCCGCATGCCCAGCCGTCGACCCTATGAATCTACTTTACCAAGTGCCTCTGAAGAGCATAATGGTGAGGAGGACCTGTACCCGCTGCCTGTCCCCCAAAAAACAAAACCCATGAACAAAGGAAATACATACAGGTGGTGACAGACCGAAATAGTCAGTGGGGCCTATCTCCCACCCTTGGTGCCCTGCCCCCGCCAGCCATGCCCATTGCCAAACCAAAGAAACCAAACAAACTTCCATAACATCCAGCACGCAGAACCCAAACAAGTCCAACTAGGTGGTCGCAACCCACTATCCACACAGGTAGTCATCAGCCAACCGGTCCATCGGGGAGCCTTACAGCACTCAGCAGCTTCGCCCAACAGCCCAAGCTGGACTGGAAACACTTAATTAGACCACGCCCAACCTGACTCAGGCCCGACCAGTACTCGCAGGTGCCTCTCCCTCACCAATCAGCCCCCCCCAAGCCCCACACACCAGACACCACGGAGCCCATCCAGCCCCCCCAGCCCCTCAGACAGATCAACCATCTGATAGCC